TTGCTAGCAATGTCTTCCTTAAAATCTATTAGCAGTTGTTTTAAGTATTTAGCTGGTCCCTCATTGGGTGTGCATATATTTAGGTAAAGGTAAAGGTAAAGGCCCTCCCTTTGATCGTCGATTTGCTCGAGCGGGCCCAGTAACCTCTCCATTGGAGACTTTGTTGTTACTGTGTTTGGCATATCGAATACTCTCGGTAGCTTGCCGGGCTCTTCAAGAGGGGTGGAGGAATCGAACTCGGGTCGGCCATGTTGGCCGCTTGTAAGGCGAACGCCCTAGTGATTTCTTCCTGCTTTACATATCCCTTGATTAGCAAAAATGACCTTCGATGGGCCATCTAATCTTTTTCAGGCTGAAGTCTATGTTGTCAGATACTAGTAAGGCCACCCCAGCCTTTTTTGTGGGGGTTGTTTGCTTGTAGAATTTTTTCCATCCTTTGGCTTTGAGTCTGTGTTTGCTCTGACTGTTCAGATGTGTTTCTTGTAGGCAGCAGAAAGTCGGATTCAGTTTCTGAATCCATTTTGCCACTCTGCTTCTCTTAATTGGTGCATTTAGACCATTGATATTGAGAGAGATTATTGTCATGGGGTTTTGTCCCATCTTTCTGTAGGGGTTTGTTGTGTTTGTATGACTTTTTTCTGTCTTACAGTAGCCCCTTTGGTTCTTCTTTTAGGTTTGGTTTTGAGTCTATGAAGTTCCTGATCTATTGATTATCCATAAAACAGTGTATCGTATCCATTGTGAGACTTGTTGTTACTGTTTATGGCATATCGAATATGCCATGGGGAGCTTGCCAGGGTCTACCATGTGGGCGGGATACTCTCGGTAGCTTGCCAGGCTCTCTGAGAGGGATGGAGGAATGTAACCTGAGTCAGCCACATGCAAGGCAAATGCCCGAAACATTGTGCTGTCGCTCCAGTCCCAGTAACGGTAGCATTGTCTTCGTGTTCCTGGAGCGAGCAGATGCTGCTGGCTTGCACTGGCAAGTGACAGGGAAGATGATACTGGTTCAAAGATGTTACTGGTACCCGCTAGAGCAATGGATGAACAATGAGATGATAGCCATGATAGTGACCCCACCACACAATACCATTTTAAAATGAAATTTACAATATTCTAGGAACTATGTAATTTGCAACAGTTTAAACTTCAGTAAAAATTATTAGTTGTTATTAGATTTCAGAAATGCTTCAAGATGGGCTCAGTACATGCCTTGTCTATCTGAGACCCTCACTTGAATCCCCAGCATGCATCTCCCCTTCCCTTGTTCCTCACCACAGCCAAAATGAAAAATAGTCTGGGTCACATTAGGAATTATTGGAAAAAGGCCTGGGTATACAGACAATTATAAAATCAGAATAGATGAAATAATTATTTATTAATTCTGGCAAGTCATTTATTTCTGACCAATTCTATATACAGAGAAATTTTTGTTAAGGGGAGTTCTGTACTTTTGAACATTCTCTGTGCAAGAAACAGATCCAAAGATAAAACGCTTGATAAGAATTCTCTTATCAAGAATGATAACTCATTTCTTGCCATGGCTCAGCAGAAAATTCTTAGAGTTACATAGGAGTCTAGTCTCTTTTAGCAAATCTTCATAGGCAATCTGTAATAAAATACTGTGGTTCTAACGTTCAAAGTATCCAGAGCCTGACCACCCTACCTCACCCCCACTATGCTCATCAGGTCCAAGATATCATTATTTCTCACCTAGATTTCTACATGATTACCCAAGTAGGTCTCTTTGATTCTCCCCATCCCTTATAACAATCATTTCTTAATAGCACAGCAAAAATGATCATTCTCCAATGCAGCCACATCAACTTCCCCAGAAAGGGTATCTAAACCCCAGATCCCCCACTCAAACCACACTCAAAGGAACAAGACATGCTACCTTTCCAAGTTGCTACCCACAAAGAGAAGAAAACAAAGTGATCCAACTTTCTGACATCAAGAGCTAGAAACCTCCCTTCCCCTCATCCCTTTTACCCCTCACCGGCCACTCCCCCACCCTTCACCTCTGGAACTGCATACTGAGCCACAGAATTTGACAAGTGCAGTCTGGGCTTTGTCCTTTCTTTTCCTTTAACCAGTCAAACCAGATTGGGTAACTCCCCATCCCTGAAACACTTCCTGCCTCCAAACAGTCCCATCCAGTCACTGGGCCCTGCTAGTTATGCTCAGCCCTGACTTTGGGTCTCACAACTTGTTGCCAGACCTGAGTCAAGGGGATTATCAGCTGTGGTGAGGACCACCAGGGCTGAGCTGTGGGGTATTTAAGCAGGGAGGGGATCGAGGTTAGGTAAATTTCAGTTTTTGTTCCTGCCACAATTTGCTCTGGAGAACAAGGAAAAAGCTGATAATATTTAATTATTTTATTTAATAAATTTATATGTACAAAAACAAAAAAACAATGGTTTTATTTTCAAAATACATAGGCAGTTATATTTATAAAGAATTTATATCTACATGTACAAACAAAAAGTCTCACAATGGAGACGTTACTGGGCCTGCACGAGCAAATTGATGAACAATGGGAGGACAGTGACAGTGATGTACAAAATTTAAAAACAATGGTTTTATATTTAAAATGTATAGACAATTATATTTATAAGGAGTTTACAATTTTTTTTTGAGTTTTCATTTTTTGTACATGCTTGGGAGACAGAACACATTGTACATTGTTATTTCGTCCTATTTGGAACTCATCAGTACAGTGTAGCTGTAGAATCCATAATACAAAGTGAAGAATCCATAATACAAAGTATTATTGTTTATAAACCCCAAAGCATTAAAACATGTCTGTTTGGATACCACTTGCCGAAAAGACTCTCACCACTTCAACCTGTCATTAAAGTGGAAGTTTAAATCAAACATACTAGATTTTTATTTCCTAATATTTTAATTAATTAGTTATATATTACTATAAGGGCCACCCCCAGAAGTTCTTGAGTGTGAGGTAGACACTCCCATTTACTCTAAGCCCTGAATTTGGGTCTCACAATTTGATGCATGGCACAGCCAATGGGATCATCAGCTGTACTGAGGACCATCAGGGTTGAGCTGTGGGTGTCGGAGTGGGAGGGCATCAAACTCAGGGCCTCAAGCATTCTAAGCATGTGCTCTACTGCTCCAAGTAGGTCTTCAGCCCACGAATGATGATACTCTGTATGTTTCTCAAAGTAAAAATGCTAAAGTGTAAAAATTACTTTGTAAGTAAGTATTCTTAATAAGAATTCTTAAGTTAATTCTTAAGTTAATAAGAATTTTTTAAAAAGCAGTGAATAAGAATATTGCTTAAGAATATTACTTTAGGGGCAGGAGCGATAGCACAGTGGGTAGAGCGTTTGTTTGCCTTGATTCCCAGAATCCCATATGGTCCCATGAGCACTGCCAGGAGTGGTTAATGAGTGCAAAACCAGGAGTAACCTCTGAACATCGCCAGGTGTGACGCAAAAAGCAAAAAGAAAAAAAAAAGAATATTACTTTAAAAGTATCTCCCTACATGTGTAACAGACAGCAAAAGAACTCTCAGTGTATCAACATAATTTAAATTATAAAATCACTTAAGTTTTTCTCATGAGTTGTTAAAAAGATTTTGTCTGATTTTTAAATAGTCATTTTTATGCCCAGTGTTTGTAAGGAAAATAACAGTCTATGCAGGGAAAGTTTTATGTATACTATAGAAGTGGAGTTCGTGATACTGATTTTTTTCTCTTGGGTTCAAGTTACAAGTATTAACTCCTACCTAAAGGTTTATTTAATTTAGAATCATGTTATCCCAAATCTCAGTTTCATTTTGGTGGGGGAAGGCCCCCTGCGATTCTCTCTGATTCAGTTTCATCTTTCCTGTCAACTGATATTACACATTTTTAGGTCAACTGTAGGATAACACTGTTTTATCCTTCCTCAGGTACTTAGTTTATCAGGTCACACCCATCTAAGGACACTGAATTTGTATTGTAAGCAATGTCCTTTCTGTATGGACACAGGGAGACAGTTAATATTATGCTTTGTAACTTGGGAGTTGATTGACTCCAAATAATATTTACTCCTGGGCATCTGCTTTCTTGACTCAGTTGCCCTTAGTTCCTAGCATCCCAAAAGCAGGGTCCCAACGAGGGACTGAATGGACCCAGGGCAAGCTGTGAGATACACTGGCATGGAAATGGGCCAGGCCAAAGTGCCACGATATTCAACTATAAGTTGAGGGCATGATCATGGACAAATGCTGTCATGATCCAAAGTAAGTAATGACGAGACTAGGACCCTGCTGGAGCTAGGAAGAATAACCTGACCTGAGGACTGTGGAATGTATGAGATGTTTATATCTCTTACTGTGCTCACACAGAATGACACTGCTAGAAATATTAGAAGTAGATTTACTACAACTATTTAAATAGATTACTAGCTGAGGAAAGAACACACCCTTCTTAGGATCCCACCCTTGAGTGGATCTCCTAGTAATCTGTAGTAATCTCTTTAGATGAGATTTTATCCTTGAGTCTCCTGGAAGAGTGGTCTTACCTCTCACCGTTGATTTGTCAATATTTAATCCACCTTTGTGTCACCGCCTTATGTGATTGCTATATAAACTAAGACTGTAAGCTCGGAGAGGGGAGTCAGAAGTGAGAGGGCTTGGGCTTCAGAGATCCAGAGTCAGAGCCAGAAGGAGAAAGTTTCCAAATTGGGGCCCAGGAGAGAAGGAGGCAGAGGAAAGACAGGAGTGAAGAGGATTGGAATAAACTATTATTGATATCGACCAGCCTGGCCCTCACCAGCCTGGCCCTCGTTTCTTCTTCTGTCTGCCCTTAGCCAACAACTGTCCCAATCCAGGCCACAGACAGCAGCTCAAGAGCACCGAACACGGGCGGTGAGACAGTGCCATCCAGTGAGCCCGCAAACACACAACCTTCGGCGTGCTAAGATATTACAGTCAACACTTTGAGAAAAGCATTCAGCAACTGTAGATAACAAGCACAATGCAGCTATTCTGCTCATGAGTGTGAAGCAATTTGACAGGTGGAGACATTGGGTTTGCTACAAATCCATTTTTTTTCTGAGTAAATCCTGGCACTACTCACACCATTGTCATTCAAGTAGGCACATTCTCCAGTTCCTCTGACATGAAACCTAAAACAAAACAAACAATTATTCATACACTAAACATCTTGCATTCATTCCTCTATGTCATCTGTAATACCTCTACTCCACTATTTTCAATAGAATAAAAAAAAGCTCAGTTATGTGACTTTTTAGTAATAAACACCGTTTTTATATTCAGCTCTTTTTACAATTTGAAGACACATGCTTAAACACCACCAACTGTATCCAATCCAAATCTAGTTATATTGTTGATCTAGTCACTTTATATATTTTGCCATAAGTTGTATCAGTGAAAATCATTCTCAGTCTTCTCACTAACTGCTTCATAAATGCAAGAAACAAAAACAGTTATTAGCAACATGCTAAAGAGCTTTATTTTGATGAAAGTGATCAAGCCCTTATATTTGATACATTTCCAATGACCTGATTGAACCGTCCACAACACAGGGAGCTACCGTTTCTGCTGATAAATCTCTCAGAGAGATTTCCATAGGTTCTCTTTGAACCATTAATTCCTTACTTTTGTGAAAAGATGAAGTATCTGGAAAAAGGATATTTAAAGGTTATGTGGGATCAAATTATCAGTGACATCCTAGGATTTTAGAATACTCCCCCCACATCTTTCCCACTGCATACCAGCAGTTATTTCTACCCTCTAAATTAATACTTTATCAGAAAAACATCTGTGCCATGGTATTAAAGTATAAAAACATATGCATGTCATCATCTTATTAAATATTTCAACTAAAATTAAAATGAATCGAGTTTTCAAGGAACTGCCTAGTAAATGAAAAGGCATAGAAAGAATTTCTGTTTCTTATAGTACTATAGATTTTCTATATTAAAGTAATTGTTTTATAGACACAGCAACAAAGAAGAAAACCAACTGGAGGGCCCCACAGCTCCTGGAGAATGCTCCAGGTCCCAAACAGAGCCAATATTACCAGGAGGTGATATCACTGGTAGGTGCTGCCACCCCGCCTTCTCCAGATGGAACCCTGGTGACCATGAGCTCCTACAAGCATAGCTCTGGCAAGCGGGTACCAGGACATTTTTTCCGAACTGCAATGGGGCCGCCCTGGCTCCCAGGAAACCTCTGATTCCAGAAGTGACGCCCACAACTCACCCCCCCCCCCCCCCGCGCCATCTTACAGCACACAGCAACAAAGAAGAAAACCGGCTGGAGGGCCCCAAAGCTCCAGGAGAATGCTCCAGGTCCCAAACAGAGCCGATATCACCGGGAGGTCCCAGATGGGGTAGGTGCTGCCGTCCTGCCTTCTCCAGATGGACCCCTGGTGACCATGAGCTCCTACAAGCATAGCTCTGGCAAGCGGATACCAGGACATTTTTTCCAAACTGCGCGGCCGCGTAAGCTGCATCACCGTATATACAAAGTGACCAATGGAAAATAAATCATCCAACATTTCTCCCTGAAAATCAGGCTTAACTCTTTTGCAAACCACAACACCCAAAAGGAGAGAGAGAACAAAGGGGAATGCCCTGCCACAGAGGCAGGGTTGGATGGCGGGGGGGGGGGGGGGGGGGGGGGGGGGAGGGGGGGAGGGATACTGGGACCCGTGGTGGTAGAAAATGGGCACTGGTGGAGAGATGGGTATTTGAAAAAAAAATTAATTGTTTTATAAACACCATAAGTCATCATAGCAAAAGGAAAATAAGTTGCAATACATACACAACGTTGCCTCCAGTATTACTTGTCCATTTCCAAGCGTCACTTGGCGATTCTCTGCTAAGGCCTATCCAATGATCATGAGGGCCTTTGTATCTTTTCAGAAATTTCTATTATAAAGCACAAAAAGTGAAAACATGCATTTTTCTCACTTACCACTCCCAAGTTGATCTTTCCTACAGTCTTCTACTGGGGATGACAGCAGGGTATAAGTGAAAAAGTTAATCTCTACCCCATTTCTCATCTGGAATCATTATTCTATGTCTCTGCTCCTAAACCTCTTTGTTTAAAAGAATCATATCTCCCAGTGTGAGTGGCAAAGTCTCACTTTGTGCCTACTGTATTAGTTATTAGTGTGTTGTGAACACTGTCACTCCCACTATTTGAATAAAAAATTATGTGAATACGATAATTCTCTGCACACAGAGAACAGTACATCTAAGCTTCTAGGTCAACTATGAGGATTACATGGGAGAACGTATCTGACATGTCTACTGGGTTCTAGGCAGAGAATTTAACCCATATCAGAAGCTTGTCTGTGCCCCATGCTCCAGACTGACTTGAGAACATCCTCTTTCAGCATTAGCCCTATGCAGCACCCAACTCTCTTGGGGGAGCTCCTTATTCAACAGAAAATATGCTCCACAAATAGTTCTTCTTTTAAAATTATGGATTAGACCCTGGGGCATTGGGAGAAATTGGACAGGATCACTTCCTAAAAAGTTCAGCCCAGTGCTAGAGCAAGTAGGGTGACACGTGGGCCCTGGGGTGCTGGGCATGCAGTGATGGCGGCTGAACTCAGGGCCCTGTATGTGATGGGCACGTGCTCTCACACTTGTACCATCTCCCTGGTGCCACAGAACAATTCTTACCAGTTCGTCTTCAGTGTCAATCTGAACAAGATTAGCTTCCAATGAGTCACAGAAAGTTTGGCTGAATGTCCAGTTTCCTGTTTCTTCAGAAAAATAAAAGCACTTGTTTCCCAATCCAATCCACATTGTTGGGCAGGCAGGATGCTCATGCATTTTTGAGGCTGGTATTTCCTCTGAGACGGCTCTTTCCCTTCTTACTAAAATTTGGATAATCACAACAAAACGTAATACATATATTTTCATACTCTTTTAATCTAGTTTTCCACTTACCATCCTAAGGTCACTACTAACACTATAGACTGGTAATTGCAATTTTCTAACTTATCAAAAAGTCTTATCCTAAGTACAATAGTACACAATCCCCAGGTCGGGGGGTACCTGTGCATCTCATTTTACAAGGGATACATGAGCATTAATGGCTTAGGGATAATAGATTTATAAAGCATCAAGTCCATGGTACTTCTTATAGATAATGCTAATTTCTGCAAAAGTAAGTAGAAGATATTCCTATTACATCATATAGACTCTCTTTTCTTATATTTCCCTTAATATAAGCTCCTTTTGCTCTTAACAGCTTTCATGTCCTGAATTTTACTATGATACATACTCAGGAGCTATAAAAGCTTTCTCTGGACAAAATATAACAACCCAAATATTATTCTGGTAACAAAAATACAATGTAGGGCTTTCTACATTTTTATATTTTAGCCCAGCAAGCTACCAAGAGTATCTTGCCCTCACAGCGAAGCCTGGCAAGCTTCCCATGATGTATTCTATATGCCAAACACAGTAGGAACAAGTCGAAGGAGATGTTACTGGGCCCGCTCAAGCAAATCGTTGAACAACGGGAGGACAGTGCTACAGTGCTAAAGTTTTATATATACTTTTTTTTAAAAAAAATGAATAAAACATTTTTGGCTCTTTTTAAATGTTCTGAAATAACCAATATTTTTGGAGTAATGTGTAAGAAGAAACAACTATTCTCATTTTACATTTTGTCTGAATTTTTTACTCTCCTTTAGATGCTAAGACTACATTATTCATTGTTCTTTAAGGGCCAGTGAAAGAAAAAAACAGTATCAAAATACTGAACACCAATGAGGATTTTACTCACATTTAAAGAAAAACAATCCCTTACATTTTTCTCAATCTTTATTCCTCGAGAGTTTAAATTAGAGAGCAGAGAGCACATGTGTGTTGATATCAGTATCACTATTTCTTTAAAAAAGAATGAAGCAAGACCCCTGGATCAATAGTATAGTGGGTAGAGTGTTAACTTTACATGCAAAGACCAGGGTTTGATCTCTGGAACCTCATAAGATCCACCAGCCCAACCAAGAGATACCCATGTGCAAAGAGCCGGGAGTAAGTCCTAGCCACAATCAAACAAAAACAAAAATAAGCCACCCCCCAACAAAACATACCCCCCTATATTATTAGGGAGAACCACTTGATAATTTAAATTCACAGTCACAGTCACAGTCCTTCCGTTGTTCATCAATTTGCTTGAGCAGGCCCAGTAACGTCTCCATCATGAGACTTGTTGTTACTGTGTTTGGCATATCGAGTACGTCACGAGGAGCTTGCCAGGCTTTGCCAGGCGGGCGAGATACTCTCGGTAGCTTGCCGGGCTCTTCAAGAGGGGCGGAGGAATCGAACTGGGGTCAACCATGTTGGCTGCGTGCAAGGCAAATGCCTTACCGCTGTGCTATCGCTCCAGACCTATAATTTAAATTATGCTAAATAATACACAGTGGTAAACCTGGACTGGGGATTTTACATATTACACTCTGATAAAACTCAAGTAGAAATATAAAATTAAGGACATTTTGTGCTTGTGTTATCTCAAATGAACAGTGGTAGTTATCAAGAGAATTTAGATTCTAATAGAAAAATTTTAAAAGAACAGTATCGCAAGACCATTTTTAAATGACATTTACAAATATTCTAGGAACTATATAATTTAAAACAACTTAAACTTCAGTAAAAATTGTTACTTGTTATTAGATTTCAGAAATACTTCAAGATGGGCTCAGTACATGCTTTGTCTATATGAGACCCTCACTTGAATACCCAGCATGCATCTTCCTTCCCTTGCTCCTCACCCCAGCCAAAATAAAAAATAAACAATAGTCTGGGTCACTTTAGGACTTGTTGGAAAAAGAGCTTATTAAAGTTAGAATAAATGCAATAATTATTTATTAATACTGACAAGTCATTTATTTCTGACCAATTGTATATACAAAGAATTTTTTGCTAAGGCATATAGTATTGTACTTTTGAACATTCTCTGTGCAAGAAATAGATCCAAAGATAAAACTCCTTGATAAGACTTTCTCTTATCAGGATGATAATTCACTTCTTGCCATGGCTCAGCAGAAAATTCTTAGAGTTACATAGGAGGCTCTTTTTTGCAAATCTTCATAGGCAATCTGTTACAAAATACTGTGACTCCAACATTCACAGTATACAGAACCAACTACCCTACAACACCCCCACTGCGCTCATCAGGTCTAAGCTATCACCATCTCTCACCTAGATTTCTACAAGATCACCTGAAGATCTCCTTGATTCTCCCATTCTCTTCTAACAATTACTTCTTTTTTTTTCCCTTTTGGGTCACACTTTGCAATGCACAGGGGTTATTCCTGGTTCTGCATTCAGGAACCACCCCGGCTGTGCTCAGGGGATCATATGGGATAATGGGAATCAAATCGGGTCAGCCACGTGCAAGGCAAACACCCTACCCGCTGTGAGATCACTTCAGTCCTAACAATTACTTCTTAATAGCAAAAATGATCATTTTCCAATGCAAATCTTGGAGCCACGACATTCTTCTTTACAACTCTCCTTTTCCTCACCTTCCCTGCTCTAATCAAAGTTTAACCCAAAGTCTTGAAGTCACTCCCAAGGTTATTGCCTCCTGGACCATCCCATGATTCTTCCTTGGTCTCACCTTGTTCTACCCCCAGCATTGTCCTGCTCTTATTCAAAGCACTAGGGATATTCTTTCTTTGGGAATTTGCTCTACTGTTTTCTGTGCTTGAATAGTTTTCCCCAAGCATCAGCATGCTCCCTTCATTTCCTTCAAAAGTTTGCTGAAAGGGAGAAATTCCCACTGGAGAATATGTGTCACTCCTATGTGCATTGCAGCTTGTTTCCCTACCCCCTACCTTAATTTATAATGACAGCTACATTTTCTTCTACAATATTAGAAGAAGGAATTTTTATGTTCCATTCGCCAATATGCCCCAGGCACTTTGCACAATTTCTGACATAAAACAGGACTCAAAGCAATATTTATGACCATAAAAACATATGGAGAAAATTACAGAGATTGTAAAACAAGCAACTTACCTGTCAAAGTAACAGAAAGTATAACCATAGATATAACCATGACCAAAATAGTGACAAGACAGAAAGCATGTCTGTGAAGAGCTTCAGAACGTTGAGTTGGTCTATATTTTTCTTGATTATGTACACCTTTAAAGTAAAAAAAAATAATCTTATTATTCTGAAAACTTTATGAGAAAAACAATTTTATCACAAAAAATCTACTTCCTAGATCATCTGTATCACAATTTCCCTATTGCCTTCACAATAGGGAAAAGGTCATGACACATAAGCTATTATCATGTGTCAAAGAGGCTCTGAAATAAAAGAAATAGAACAGAATCTCCAGCCATAGGAAATCCTATAGCAATAGGCAAAGGAGTTCAGAAGATGGAAAGTAACAGAAAAAGGTAGAAAGTTCAGGTATGAGGATCAGCAGTGAGGCATATGCCTCCCCTGTGTTAGGTCAGAGTCTCAAAGACATGCAGATGGGCAACAGATGCATGAAAATGCTTCCTGTCACTCATTAACAGGAAGATTCAAATCAAAAGCCACAAACAGGTGTCACCTCATATGGTTTAGAGCTGCTAGTCTGGAGAAGAAGCACACTGTTGATAAAGATCTGGTGAAAACCTATATCTAAACTATATTAAGTACCTTGAAAGCTCAAATTAAGAGAAATTCACAATTTGAAAATGTGTTTTGAATCACCCAGTTTGCATATCTTAATATAAAATTGCTGAATTAATATAATATTGACTGAAGAAGACACATAGATGATAAATTAGCACATAAAAGTGTACTCAAGATCACTTGATCACTTGACATCCCATTGCTCATCGATTTGCTCAAGCAGGTGTCAGTAATATCTCCATTCGTCCCTGTCGCGTGCTAACGTAGCACAATGGCGTCTGCTTTTTCCAGGAACACAAAGAGCCTTGTTCATGTTCGTTCAGCACCTTGACGAAGAAGTCTGACCATCTAGGTGGTGGGCGGCCATGTGAACTTTTGACATCCTGTGGAATCGAGTCAGTAACAGCTCTAGTCCAGCAGTCATCTTCAAATCACATTATGTGTACAGCCCATCTGATTTTCGACCCCTTGACAAATGAGACAGCTTCCCTGATTCTCTATCATGGACAGAGATGGGAACTCCAGATTCCTTCTCTCACTTGAGTGAAGCGTGATACTCCAATCATAGCTCTTTCAATTCCTCTTTGGGAGACCTGAATAGCGTTCTCATCCTGTTTTCGTAGGGCCGGGTCTCTGAGACGTATGTTAATGTGGGAAGAATGGTGGAGTCAAAGAGATGTGCCCAGAGCCGAAGTTTCTTCACCCTCTTAGCTATTTCTTTGATGCTCTTGAAGGCATTCCATGCCGCTCTATTTCTCCTGCACAACCCAGGTGCCAGGTCATTCATCTTGTTGAGTTCTCGACCTAGGCACACATAGCTGCTGCATTCGGAGATGTCTGTTCTGTTGAGAGTGAATGGAACATCAGGAACGAGTCTGTTTCTCATGAGCACTGTCTTTGTGAGATTCAGCTGAAGTCTGACCTTTCACACTCATGGTTGAAGTCAGCCAACATTTGTACCACTTGGCTAATGTTTGGTATTAGAACGATGTTATCAATGAAGCAGAGGTGATGTAGTTGCCGACTGTCTATCTTCACTCCCATTCCTTCCCATTCCAGTCATCACATGACGTTCTCGACGGTGGCACTGAAGAGTTTTGGTGAAATGGTATCGCCCTGCTGAACCCCTCTCTTGACATGGATGATCACTTCCTTATAGAATGGTGAGATCCTGGTAGTG